TCAACACAAATGACTTTGTGTGACCTGTCACTTAAGCATAGTAATTCCAAAGCATACTCCTTTTTAACATCTTGACATTATCATCATGGAGCAAAACTTAAAAGTCCTTAAATTATTATGTCAGATCATTTGTTGATCAAACAGTGTCTTCATAAATGTAAGGTCTTTGGATTTTCTGATAAAGTTTGAGATCCTGCACACAACCTTTCTTTCATTTATTCCAAACACATCAGGAATGTTTAAACCCATTTCTTCCATTTTACCTGGGGGACATCTGGAGTTCAGACCCACATATGTCTGAGGAACAGTCTGTAGGTTGACCATCTATTATGGTATAGAAATCGATGATTGCTTTATACTATGCAAGCTAACATACTTTTTGTTTGTTCTAAAGCACATCCAGACATACAGCCACACAATCTCAATTTAGCACTGCATTTAATTCAGCTCTGAGAGAAAGAGAGAGAGCAGTCCAGGCAGACGTGACTCTTTCTGCTGCTCTGATTCTGTGCTATCATCTTATTTCCCCTGCTGGTCGTCGTTTATTGAGACTTCATAAAGACAGAATGAGCGAGTTCTCAGCCAGGCAGTATTAACCACCTGCCTCCTCCGAGATAACCAAAGTCAACTCTCTCCTTTCTCCTGCTTTCCCTGCCTACACTTCTCCGTTTTTTCTGTCTGTCCTTGTGTTGCTTTTTTTTGTTTTATCCTTATTTCTCTCTCATTTCTGTTATCCTTTCCTTTTCTGCAGAGAACCAACGATGTCTTATCGCAGTTTAATCTCCAGCTGAGAGTCGCTTCTGTGGGGGACCGGCCAGTGTGACTTTGTGGTTTATTCTGTGTTGGGGCATCTTAGTGGACAGGGTGGCTTTGTGTCAAGAGATGAGGAAAATAAAAAAGAGTGATTTTTCCCAACAAGCACAATTCAAACATGTTAATTTGATACCCTGACATATTTGAACACATAGCCAGACAGGGGCAGCAGGCAACAGGAGGCGGTGTCTGCTGTCTGTCTGAGTGTTTGCTACCCGTAGCTTTATCAAAGCACTGCTGTGCTCTACCTCCTGTGACAAGTGCTACAGCAGGGAATCCAAATAATATGCAAGAGGCAAATTAAAGGAGAAGAGGAGTGGGAAAGAAACACACAGTCGGCAGAAGGAGTGGAAAAGATTTTTAATATAGTAAAGAGGAAAAAGCATTTGTTGAAAAAAAAAAGGAAATATTTACAATGTATCTATCTTTAATGTGAAACCTCATCATGCAGAGGAAGAAATAAGAACTAGAGTCTGAAATGTTCCCATAGGAGGAAGGGGAGAAGTTAAAAAAAATAATAAAGAAAACACTTAAGATAATAAAGAGAGGTAAATCCCATTTAGAACAAAGATGAGGTGTCTTTGATATCCAGGTCAGACTCTCTCCAGAGGTCTGAATCTCTCCTCTTTATGCTTTTGTAATGGGCTTTTAAATTTGATTGACGGACTGCCTGTCAAATCGTCTTGTTCCCCAGGAGAAGGCTGGGTATCTTAAGTGTTACATTTTTCAATGGTAATGGGCAGTCTTACAGATGTGAGGAGAGAATAGGACTTTATTATTTGCTTTGGAACAGACAGATGAAGATCAAAGATATAAATATTAGACGATGCTATCGTATTAGAAATCTTAATTTGTTTCCTTGTTCACTACACTCTCTATACTGTAGGTGCTTAGTTGATTACTTTATAATGGGCACTAAACTGATAGTTTGGATGTTTGTTAATCATCATTATTTTGCATCTCCTGAAAATGTTTGTTTGTAAAATGCAATGCATAAGTGTATATTCTGAATGAGTTATGAGGTAGTCAGATGGCTTCCCAATTGCAGTTACTTTAGATGTAGATTTGAACATCGTTTACAAGTTAGAATTTTAAAATTGTGTTAACTTAGATATAACATGAAAGTGGCATAAGAATCTGCAGCCACACTAGCAGCCATGTGAGGTTGTGCAAAGTGTTGCTTTAACCCAAATGCCACCTGCTGGCATTCACAAGTGAGCATGTTGATGTTTAGCAGGCATAAGGTTCACTGTCTTAGGTTAGGATGATAGCATGCTAGTGTACAAATTAACACTGAAGATGAAGTACAGCTGAGGCTGATAGAAATGTTATTTGTTTTTAGGTATTTGGTCATAAATCAATGTCCTAGACAAATTAAGAAGATCAAAGGGATCAAGTTTATAATTCATCCTTTTGGAACCAAATGTCAATGCCATTCACTGTGTAGATGCCACATCCCCCCCCCAAAACAAAGATTTTACCCTACTAGTGGCACAGGAGAAAAAGTCAGTGGATCACCAAAATCTTTAGGATTTATCCCATGGACCTAAAACTTTTTGAAACTTTGCGAATCTGCCACTTTGAGGGTATACAGGGACAGGGAAGGAGAATAAAAACATCACATGAGCCAGATTTAGCAAAAAACATGTTTAATCTCTCCTTGATGCGTGTCTATTTACACATAATAAATCTGCAAAATAGGAAAGAGCAGGATATCTACATGGGCGTGAAACAGCCAAAACCTGTCACAGCAGCTTCAAGTCTGAAACTCTTAAAAATGTATTTGAATTCATAAAGTATTAAAACTCTTTAAGGTTTTTTTTTTCTTACTGCCTCTCGCTTTTTTAATGTGTGTGTGAAGGTATTTTACCTCCTATGGTCCTTTTCTGAAATGTCCTTTAATCAAAGTGAACTCAGCAGGTGGGGAAGCTGGAAAGTTGGAACTAGACAGATGAGAAACTTGTGTTGCTGCCAAGGGGGATCAAAAATGGCAGATGAGGGGAAGTTGTGCGGTGTTGTTTCTATCTGGGTCTGAGGTGGCGCCATGCTGGAGGGCGCAGACTATACTAAAAAAAAATCTCTCATGCTTTCTCTTCCTCTCTCATTCCTTTACTTTTTAGTTTTCAGATTTAGAGAACGCTTTCAGAATGAACATTTTTTGAGAAGTAGTTTGACATTTTGGGGAAAGTTATTCACTCCCCTTCTAAGAGTTAGACAAGAAGATTAATATTATGTCTCTTAAAGCTGGAGTCATGGTGTTGTTAGCATAGCTCAGGCTAGCAGAGGCTTGAAGCATTGGTGAACCTGTGAAAAACTAACCTATCAAAAGCTCAGTTGACATTTACATGTCTGTTTAGTCAAAAGTTAAAAAATGAGAAACAATCTATTAAGAGCTGTAGGCTAGCTATAGACTAAGCCAGGCAAGCACATTTGCTACTAAGCTAAGCAAACACATCCCGACACCAGCTCTACTTAACACACAGGCAAGAAATAGGTCAGTCTCCTCATTGCACTCTCAAAAAGAAAGTGAATGAGCATATTTAACAAAATGCTGCACTAAAGATCACAATAAATTATTGTTGTCAGAATGTATATATAAAATGTGTAAATATCTCTTTGTCAAATTCTTGTCCAACCTACCATGAAGTTCTTCAGTATATGGGAAGGACATCATTTTCAGTAAAGAAAGAGGCAGTGGAAAATTCTGTGTGTTGGTCAGTTGTCAAGTGAATCACCCTCCTTCACTCCACCCTCCTCCTCCTCCTGCATCACTGTCTTTTTCTTGTGGAAAAAAACAAATGCCACAGATGCAAGAGAATGGGAAATGAAGCGGGACCATGGCTTTCAAAGCACTTCCTCTCTTTTCATCTTTTACCCTAACAAGTAATAATAAAAAATAAAAAAAAATAATAAAGCCCCAGAGACCAACTGAACCTTTCCTCTTCATCTTAACGAATAATGCCCCCCCCCCCCT